ATCAATGAATCTCTCTCATCACTGATGTTTCTATCTCTCTCTCCCTCTCCCTTCCTCTCTGAAATCAATCCTATATAATAAAAGCCTAATATGCTAAGTGCCCCGTCGGCTGGTCAGCCGGTCAACCAATCAAAGCATAATATGCTAATGATATGCTAAGGCTGCTCAACCACTCACTATGACGTGCACTGACCACCAGGGGGCAGACGCTCCGATCTGTAGGTTAGTTTGCTGCTGGGGTCCAGCTGATCTGGACTGAGTGAGACAGGCTGGACACACCCTGGAGCCTTCCTGTGGTCCCTCCCCGGCTGGCCAACCTCCTGCATTCCTCCCCTTCCCTGATCGTGCACCGGTGGGGTCCCTTGGCCTGGCCTGTGCCCTCTCACAATTCAGGACCCTTCAGGGGATGTCTGAGAGCCGGTTTCAGCCTGATCCCGCTCAACGCAGGAGCTGCCCCCTGGTGGTCAGTGAGCTCCCACAGGGGGAGCGCTGCTAAGACAGAAGCCGGGCTCACGGCTGGTGAGCATAGCAGTGGTGGCAGAAGCCTCTCCTGCCTCCGTGGCAGCGCTAAGGATGTCTGACTGAATCACCTGAGGGCTCCCAGACTGCAAGAGGGTGCAGGTTGGGCTAAGGGACCCCCCCACCCCCAAGTGTATGAATTTCATGCACCAGGCCTCTAGTAAAAATATATTTTTTAAAAACACCCTGATTTTAGAACAAGGGTTCTTAACTGGGGTCTATAAACCATAACTGTACACTAATTCAGAGGCCATGAACTTGGATTGATATTACAGCTTGGGTCCCACTCACCTGCGTTTGAACCCAGGCGGCGACTGCATGTGTTGGTGGTGCCGGCACAGAGCTGTGTCCCCTCCCTGCGCAGGAATCCTGAACATCACCCACCCGTCTCCACTTCACACCGACGTCGTGTATTAGGCTCCCCCAGCTCTCGTTATGCAACGTGTTAACAAAGAAACCGTGTCTCCCAACACCACACATTTAAACAAATATTTTCACAACCCTATCCCAACATACCTAGCTTGCTGTGCAACCCTGTGTGTTTTATTTTATTCACATGAAAATGTTATTTTGAGAAGGGGATCCATGGCCCCCAAAATGTCAAGAGCCCCCAGCCGGAGGGGCCTTGCTGACCTCTGGTCCAGAACGAGGGCAGCACACAGCCGGCAGAGGCTCTGCAGGAGGAGCCAGGCCGAGCCCCACCTGCCCCGGGAAATCTGGGGAGGGGGTGGGAGGATGATTGGCAGCCCACGGAGATCCGCAGTTTAGCTGATGCCCTTGGGCCTCGCTGCCCGTTGTGAACAAGATCACCAGCCTCTGAGCTTGGATAGCAGGGGGTGAGGGAGGATGCGGGGAGAGCCCGAGCTCACTGTGGGGTAAAGGGAGGGGCGCACCCAGCTTTGGTTCTCAGGGGGTTGTTTCAACAGAACTGAAGGACACAAGAGCCCAGAGTGGGGAGGGGCAGGGGGTCTCCCCCGTCAGCTGACACTGCTTCATGTGCCAGGTGAAAGCTGCCCTCTGCACCCGGGCTCTCTGCTGGGAGGGCAGATCCTCCCTGCCTCTCCATGGGCTGCCCCTTGGGAGCAGGGCCACCCCAGCACCCACCAGGCAAGCCCTGCCCTGGGTGACCTGGGGGGCCAGGCCCCAGCTGCCTTGGGAGGAGCTGAGCCTTCGTGCAAGGACACCTTCATCTCACTAAGGTGGGCGTCGAGGCCACACGGTGTCACTGAACTGTCCCCAGTCCCTGGGGCTGGCTTCCTTCTCTCGAAGTCCTTTTGAGCTGCCCCACTGGCCACACAGGGCAAAGCCCAGCCTGTCCACCTAGGACTGGGCGCACGAGACCTGCCCGCGGACCTGCAGGCCAACTGAGCCGGAGCCCCCAGCGCCCTCTGGCCGTGTGCCCACAGGTGAGGCTGGGACCAGGGACCCCCACCCGCTGCTCAGCACCCTCCCTCCCTTCGGGAAACTTCTCAGGCTTGAGGTAAGTATAGGGAAGGGGCTGAAGCAACCGCAGAAGTTTCATTCCGGGATGGACTGGAGGCCGCTGAGTGATGATGGAGAGGGGCCTGGGAGCCCGAGCGCCTAGAGATTCTAGGGGGCAACTCTGAGGTGCAGGCCGGCCACCACTGCCGCTTCCCGCTGGGTTCTCGGCTGCTCTCCACACCATGCTGGTCTGGTCCGGGCGGCGAAATGACCAGCAGGAGCCGGCACATCATTCATTCATTCACAGATCCCTGTTCCCAGCAGGGCGCCCAGTGGGCTGGGGAGAGGAGTCAGAACAACACGTTAGATGCCACACGCGGGGCCTGGGCGGAGGGAGATGGGGGCAGGGAGGCTGAGGCTCAGTCCTGAAGAACAAGGAGGATTTTCGCAGTGGGCTGGGGAGAGGAGACAGAACAAGACGTTAGACGCCACTCGCAGGGCCTGGCGGAGGGAGGTGCGGGGAGGGAGGCTGAGGCTCAGTCCTGAAGAACAAGGAGGATTTTCCTCAGGGAGAAGAGAGATGAAGGGCCCAGGGTACGGGGACTGGGCGCCGGGCTGCGCTGGGCTCTGTGTGATGCTGCCAGGGGAACGCGGGGTCCTGTGGGTGAGCACATTCAGGAAGTCTGGATTAAGCCAGGCTGAGCTGCAGGCCTTGTCAGAGCCTTTAACCTGTTCCTGTGCAGGTGAGTCGTGGGGTATCGGGGACTCGTGCTCCATGGCAGGCTGCAGGGCGTGGAGGCAGGGGAGGCAGGGGAGGAAGGGGAGTTGGTGGGGCTTCGAATGCCAGGATCGAAGGCTGGGCTTTTCCCTGGGGCCAGCGAGGAGCCTCAGAAGGAATCAGCGGAACAGGGCGTGGAGGCAGGGGAGGCAGGGGAGTTGGTGGGGCTTCGAATGCCAGGATCAAAGGCTGGGCTTTTCCTGGGGCCAGCGAGGAGCCTCAGAAGGAATCAGCGGAGGGATTTAGACTCAGGACACCTGGGGCAGTTTAGTGACCAGCGAGGTCAGGGCAGCGGCAGGACATAGCCAGCCCCTCGCACCACCCACTCCTCCCTGGCTGACAGCAGGGCCTCTCGGTGGGAGAGAGAGGAATCTGTGCACACAGGCAGTGGGGGGCGCCCAGAGCCGGGCTAGAAGGGAGGGGCCGCAAGTCCTGGAATCCAGGTGTGGCGAAGAGCCTGTGGGGGGTCCAGGCTGCTCCCAGTCCACCTCTTCCCAGCTGGGGTTCTGGCTGGACCTCCCAGGGAGGGGACATTATTTGAGCTTTAAAAAAAATACACATTTTTTAGAGCAGTTTTAAGTTTATGGAAAAATTGTGCCCCAGGTGCAGAAGGTTCCCTGTATTCCCTCCCTGTCCCCACAGTCGCCCTGTTATTAACAACTCGCATGCGTGTGGCCCGTTTGTTAGTGATGGACTCGCTTTGGTCCATCATTATTAACTGAAGTCTGTGGTTTACATGACGGTTCACCCTGTGTTGTACGTCCTATGGATTGTGACACGTGCGCCATGCCAGGTCCCCAGCATCACAGTGTCACACAGAATAGCCTCGCCGCCCGACTGCCCTGTCTGCGCCCAGTTTTAACATCTGTAAGATGAGAGCGCGAGGCTCATCCAAACCCCCCAGCCGCCCCCTGCAGGTTCCTCATTTAGGCCTTTGACAAATTAAATGGCTCAGAAATCAGCTGTCTCTCTAAATATGGCCTGATACTTATCAGAATCGCTAGGCTCAGGCTGAGGGGAAGGGGCCCGCATTCCAACAATCTAGGGCAGCGGTTCTCAACCTGTGGGTCGCGACCCCTTTGGGGGTCGAACGACCCTTTCACAGGGGTCGCCTAAGACCATCGGAAAACACATATATAATTTACATATTGTTTTTGTGATTAATCACTATGCTTTAATTATGTTCAATTTGTAACAATGAAATTGGGGGTCACCATAACATGAGGAACTGTATTGAAGGGTCGCGGCATTAGGGAGGTTGAGAACCACTGCTCTAGGGGCTCCACCCCAGGCCCCTAAATCCGAACCCCCGGGTGGGGCCCAGGAAGGAGCACTGGTCCAGGTCCCTCGTGCACAGGGCAGTTTGAGACCCGCTGGGCCCAGGGCAAGAACGACGGGGCCAGCTCCTGACTGCGCGTGGGGATTTGTCCTACCGGCTTCCCAAACCTGAACAGAAGGGTCCCGGCCGTCAGGTTAGGGCTGGGCAGAGACGGACATTCCCAACGGGAAGGCGCAGAGCAGTGCTCTGTAAAGCCTTGGAAAAGCCCGTTTCCGGCTCGCAGCTCCCCGTCAACAGGCCTGCTGGTCTCAGGTCTTGATTGCCTATCACCCCCGGCCCCCCCCCCCCCCCCAAATAGCCTGCATGCTGTGTCTCTCCAACTGTGGCTGCGGCTCTCCAGCTGCGGCTGCCTCCACAACTTTCTTAACTTAGCAGCGGAGCATGTGGGCTCCAAGACGAGCGCCCGCCCGGCGGGAAAGGCCCTCCCTGGTGGCCATCTCGAGTGGCTGAATAGGGTTGCCCCAAAGTCCTGTCTACCCAGAACTCAGGAAGTAACCTCACTTGGAAATGGGCTCTCTGACGCTGCAATGAGGAAGGATTGAGATGCGATCACACGGGTGGACCCTACATGGAATAGCTGGTGTTCTTCTAAGAGGGGAGGACAGACAGACACAGGAGAAGGCCCCGTGAAGAGAGAGGCAGGAAGTGGACGGAGGCAGCGACAAGCCAAGGGCACCAAAGATCCTGGGCGCCACCAGAGCTGGAAGAGGCGAGGAAGGATTCTCCCCGAGACCCTCCGTGTGGAGGGAGCAGGGCCGCCACCTTGGTTTCAGACATCAGAATCGCGACAGCACACGTTTCTGTTGCTCTGAGCAACCAGCTTGTGGTCATTTGTTACGGCAGCCCTAGAAGTGGATACGCCATCACTGATGCGGACCAACCCCGCTCAGCCCACCCTCCTCGCCCCACTGCAGGCGAGAAGAAAGGACCCCACACAGAGGCGACTGTCCCGACAGGCATTTAATGTGGCCGGCCGCAGTCGGAGCGATTTCCTCCAACGAACATCTCTCACTCTGCCTCGAACAGGCCTGTTTCCTACACAGGACGGGGCCCTCTGTCCTCTGCTTGGGAGGCTACAATCCACGAAGCATTCAGCAGTGACGGGTAAACACTGGTCCTGGGGCAGAGGCAGGAGGGGGTCTCTGTGGTGGTCCCGGGCTCAGCCAGGGTCCGCTGGGCCCTTCTCTACAGCTTCATGCCACTCCGGCGCCGCGAGTCCTTCCGGGCGATGGGGCTGAAGTTCACGATCTCCTTGTAGATGTGCTCTGAGAAAGGCAGGGTGGCTCAGGTGGGTAGGGAGCTGAGGGAAGAAAGAGCCCGTCCCCGGTCCCCCGACCCGCAGACACAGCAGGGAGCAGTAAGTCAGCCCAGGGAGGAGGAAATGCCCGCGGGAGGGAGACAGTATCCGAGCTGAGGGCGGAGGCACGGCCTCCAGGGGCAGAGGCCAGACAGGAAAGCAGAGGTGAAGCACAGAGAGGCTGCGGCAGCGCGCAGAGGGCCGAGCCCCAGCTCTTACGCTTCCATTCGTCCACTGTTAGTTTCTCGTGCTCTAAGGAATCATCGAATTTCGGGGCCTCCGTCTCCTCCTCGGGGTCCCGGAAGGGTTCGAAGAAGGGGTGGGCGAGGGCCTGCGAGGCCGTCACGCGCTTGTCCACGTCCAGCTCCAGCATCTTCTCCAGCAGGTCTGCCGCTGCGGCGAGAGCAGGAGCCTCGCACCCAGGCCTGGGGGAGGCCACGCCGCCGCCCACAACATACACACACACACAGGCGCAGAGTTCCAGCCCAACTCACCCTGGGGGCTGGCGCTGGGGAAGAGCTGAGAGAAGTCCTTCTTGGGGCTCTGCGGCAGGGACTGGATATAGGATTTGGCCTGAAGACAGAGAAGCACTGAGTAACCCCCATGTCGGCCCCCGGCGCCCAGGCCTGGGGGTAGAGCAGAGTCTAGAAAAGCCCCGCAGGGCTGCGGGCTCCGGTCAGTCCACAGCGGATGAAGGCAAAGCACCTGCCCCGGCAGCGGAGCACAGGGAAGCCCTCCTCCCCACAGGCCCGCCCCGCCCACTGCCACTCACCGCTTTGTCCTTCAGCTTCTGCACAAACTCTGGGCCTGGCACCCCGGTCACCTTCAGGATCTGGGTCAGCTGGTCCAGGTCTTGGCAGCAGGTTAAGGCTCAGCCTCACTCGCTATTGGCGGATCTGGAGCTGCCCTTCCCGCCGGCCCTCCAGCACCCCCACCCGGCCCTGCAGTGACACCCAGCTCCAGGCGCCTCCCCGCCTCCTGCCTCCTCCTGCTTGGGGAGAGGAGGTTCATCC